AATGTAACGCTAAGTTCACTTAATGCGGTTGCATGATGAGAGCAGGGTGAAAATCGTGTCGAGGAAATAACCGCCTCTTTACGACCCCCCTCCAAAACATGGACTCTGATACGACCCCTTTTTGTCCTCTGCACATCCGGTTTCATATCAAAAAATGCTAGTTTCAGATGTGCGAGAGGGCGCGCGCTGCCACGCAAATGCGGCTTGATCCAAATGCTAGATTCAATTCTGCTCAGATTAGGTTCTCCTTCTTTCCTTTAAAGACATTTAACCTTTGCCACATTGGCCGGAAAGTAGTACGTAGGAGGTACTGCCCCTACACAGTTGAACAGTCTCGCGCTCCAGTATAGCGGCGCTAACTACCCGCGATCGCGTCGCGCGCTGTGCCTAGAGCGCGCTAGTTGGAAAAATCGTCAAATGTACCCCCTATTTAAAGGACTATAACTTTCTTCATTGATAACCATTTCAGAAAAGTGAAGGCAGCTTTTGAATGCACAAGACTTCTAGTTTCTAAATTGTGCTGAGCGTTTTTCTAAGCACACCTATTCTCGAGAGTGGGAGACGTCGAGGAATTGTCGAGGAAATTGAAATTTACATGCGAGTTCCTTTCTTTGGAAATCTGCGTCGAGGAAATGTCAAGGAAATTTTCGAAGCCACTCGAAAACTCTATTCCTCCCTCGCCGTAGTAGGGAACTTCTTTGAACACCTTCAAAATGCTTCTGTACACGTCAGTTCGATGGAGTAAATTGAAAATGATTGTCGGCGCGCGCCATGCAGTGACCCACTCGGAGTCATTGGGAAGGTGTTTTGTCCTAGTGACGACTTGCTTAATCACACCAAAAGATATTTCCAGTATTAACTAATTAGAATATACTTCTTGTGGTCATAGTGATGTCTGATCATTCCTTTATTCAATCGCTTCCTTTCCAACCCGTTCTGATGAATGACACGCTTGCGGTTGCAGGATCTGATGATGCCAAGAAGGCTGCGAATCTGCCTGTTTTGAACTTTCTACCAAGATGCTGTTCCTCCACTAAGTTCTCGCGAGCATGTACATCATGTACATCATTCCAGAGTAGATACTCGCTGCCCTTTCCCTACGATTCTTTTGCAGGACGCGTTGCCTTCCTATGCCATACTGATCACTACGAACCAAACCAACAACCACTTTCCATTTAAATTTTAATTCCAGACAGTTGTAAGATATTATTTGCATTAGGCTAACTACAACACTTGTGAAAGTAATGATGACAGCAAATAAGTGGCAGCAGCACCGTTGTGTCCGTTGATGAACCTTTTGATTACGACCCCCTCCCAACTCTCATCGGAGCAAATACGACCCCCTGTCGAGGATTTCCTCGACCGCGTCGGCCGTGTATTCACGGCCTGGTGAGAGCCTGTGGACGACCAGGTTCAAATTCGCGACAGACATATGAATGACCCATTACCCACATCAAGAAGTGGGAAAGTGCTGTCCCCACTTGTTACAAAGGACTGCTAGACCCTAGTATTGTGCTAGGGTGTCATCCAGTAAAGTGTGACAGTTTTTGTCGGCTACAGAAGTACCAATTTATGCAAGGGGATGGGAACCCCCGGCGTACGTGAACTATTTCGCTTAAGCTTTTACACCCACCTTGGAGCTTCCCGTGCCTGAAAGGGATTTCTTCTGCCGATAGTGAACTTCACATCCACATTCCCACCTCCTTGGATTAGGCTGCTTGTGTATAACTTTTCCTTTCGTCGTATGAAAATTAGTGGGGCTGAGAAGTGCACGACATTTTTTATGTTTGGTTAACACGTTTTATTTTCTATAATTCTCTTTCGCATTTTTCAATCTCCGGTGCTGCACACTTCCTTTGTCCTATCGATTGGGATCGTCGGGTGGTATTCGTGCTAGTTCAAAGTGCCACTGTGTGTCGGCTTTGGGGTCGATTCGTCAAACCAACCTGTTTCAGTGTTTACACACCCCGCTTCTGCCAAGTCTCCACTTCGTTCGCAGTTGCGCTGTATGGGATCATCTGAACAGGATCTGTAAGTGGTTTTATCGGTATGATCTTCCTTTACTTGTGCATTTATGCTCTTTTTTTTCTTCACCTTATATAACAGAATTCAGTAGCACATAACTCAGCTCAGGAGCGCTTCTTCTGGTTTTTGTCAATAGTTTGTAGTGTTATACGTCATTTTAGAGTGCTACTATCTTCGGGCACTTTGTTAAAATGGACTAATTATATCAATGGATGGCGAGAACGGTTTTTCGAGATAAAACATGGTCAACTTCTCTATTACGCCAGCAAAGCCGACCAAGGATCCGGATGTCGTGGCAGCATTTCCTTGAAAAAGCTGAAATTAATGTGAGTGAGCATTCTACGAAATGTTTGCAAGGCGCTGCCGGTATCATTTGCAAATTATGTTCTCCAGCCCAAATTTTCCACCATTTCAAGTGAAAATATATCTCTTCTGGGTTATTATTATTTCGTGCTTAATGAAAATTTGCTAAAATGGTCGGCTGCTTTCGCAGGTTCGGTTTTGGGCTGAACAATCACCTATTACCCCACTCAATTGATCGTTGGGTTCACAGCAGAGCTTTTCCATAATTTAACTGTATTTTTTCTCCAGTTCTTCAAAAACTACTATTTCTCTCTGATTTCTATATTGCGTGACCCCATCTTCTCTGCCTAGAATAGAAAGATATTATTTTGCATGAGCCCGTTGCTTAGAATCGAAGTCTTCTGACTGCATATAATGTGTGTTAGTGGTGTTGTGTTCAGCCTATTTAGGACATATAATACTTCTTTAAGGGGAAGAGCTATTATTTGAAAGTTGGATTGTTTCTGATTTACGGATTTTGTAGTTACACGAGTTCAATGAATGCGAGTTTTCTGTATCGGTTGGAGACGTTGTATGGTATTTGAGGGCGGAAAACCCACACTCACGCAACTATTGGATAAAGGCTCTCACTAAAGATTCTGTAAGTTGTTCTTTTGCTCTGTCTGGAATAATTTGTCTTTTTTTGTGATTTCTACACCATCTATAACTATCCCGCAGTAAAGTAGTTAATTACTTGTTGGTGCGTAACACCCATGAGGTAGATTTGGTGGATCATTTACATTTGATTGGAACGTTAGGTTATTATAAGGGAAGTGAAGGAATCGAAGAAATGAGGTAGACTGTTGATCAAATTGAGGGAAATAGCCGGTAAAACCACAAGTTAGGCCACACTTTTGTTGGTTGAGATAGTGCAATTCGGTGATGACTAATATTTTATTCCAGTGTGACTCAGACTATAGCAGCAACACTACAAAGAGTCATTCGAGGAACACTTCTCTCTCTTCACTAACACTGGGAAATAAATCGGAGGTAAGAATAGTTCTCTTGGCGAAGGCGCCCTCTTGGACCTCTTTCTCACCGCTGTGACAGGTCAGGTCAATCTTATAGCGTTGCGCGAAAAATCACGTACACTATTACCACTTTCAGATATAGATCTTTTTAACGTAGCACTTACGTTATCATCGAATGAACCAGGTTTGTTTTGCAGGACCAAAACACGATGGTATCACGCATTGCTGAATTGGAGGCTTATCGAACAATGTATCGTGAGCAGATGTCTTCGATTCGTCGGGAACTGCAACAAATCGGCGTTCCACAAGCTAAAATTCTGTCAATAAATGCAACACATGTTGCTATGCTTGATAATATCAACCACATAATTCAGTTGGCCAAGAATGAGGTATGCATTGAGTTGGAGAGTGTTCAAATAATTCTGAATTCATTGAACGTACGTTGATTCTTCCATCTCATGATTTTCACTTGATAGGTAGTAAGCTATTTAAATGGAACATTATGCGTAAGTGTCCCCAAACACTTTTGACATATGTTTTTGCAGTAACTTTATGGAACTCTTTCAAAACCATCGAGTTTTTCTTTGCTAGGACAGTGATTGTATTATAGGATCGTTGATTTTTTTCCGCACTAGTTCACTGGACTATAAGCTTCATTCGGTATCACATAAATCATATCTTGTTTTTTTTTGCTATTTAAAAACAAATTTGAGCTTACATCATTTTTTGCTAGCCGGAAAAAAAGCAGCAATTTTGAATTAAGGGAAAATATTTCAAGATTTTTTAGATCTAATTTGTAATTTTAAAGGGGATTGATTGTGTTTGGTGCAGTGTTTTGTATTAAGAGCGATTGTTTAGCGTGGACCTACTGCTTCGCACAACGGTTGGATACCGAATACACCGGTCTCACCATGTACACCATCTCCTCTTCCACCTGTTGACGATGTCGAGCCTCCTTCGCGTGAGACTACTGTGTGCCAGGATACAGCCCCCCAATCGGTCAACGACGTGGTTCGTGAAACTTCCTTTTCTATGCATTATCTAGAGGATCCTATATTCAAGAGGAAGAATTGGACAGATCAGAAATTTTCTACTAGTCTAGTGACGGCTCTAGGGTACAGATATTTATTCAGAACTGAAGTTCTCATTCCGTACATTTGATATTTATGATACCTTCGTATACAGTGCGTAGTTGAGTGGAGATAGAACGAATGCGAATGGGATGAAATGAGCTCTTCGAGGAATCTAGCTAAAATGTTTGGAACTTTTTTCCCGGGTTTCCATTTTAATCTTTACGGTGTCCTAGAAATTGCGGTTTTTGAAATCTAGACACAAACGCACATCTCCACCATACCTTCTCACGTTTCGGCTGTCGTTATCTGTTGCGCGAGAAGTGTGATATCAAGTTCACCCCATTGCGTTTGTTTTTCGATTTGGCCAAAAAAAACTTCATTAGATTGCGCGTTTACTCATGATCGATTTTTACTTTTTATTTGGCGCACGCCGTGAAAGGCAGTCTGTGATGAAACTCCTTAATTTCAAATAATCGGTGTCAGTCTGAAATTCTGGTCTCATCCACGTTGTTTCACGAACTCTTTGAACTTGTAAGCCGTGAATCGTAACTTAAACATGATTTAATCCACTCCTGGGATTGTTTGCACTCTGTAATGGTCTTATACAAAGTGAGTAAGTGAGAATTGAATCATATAGTATAGTTTCTTACTCTGTGACAATTTTACCGTTTCTTATGTTGCAGATCATTGACAGGTGCCACATTGCGTGTCTAACCACCTCAGTGGAGCGGAATTATATTGAAAATGAAGTCGTTATTGATTAGCCATCTATCAGCATTAAACACGTCAATTTTAGACGAGTGATTGTGGTGATGAGTGGCATGATGCAGACGAACATTCATCACTTTCACTTGATAGTGCTGAAGAGGCAATAGAACGACGAACACCACCCGGTGTTAGAGCGGTTGTAGAAGTGGCCTCTGCTCCACACAAATGAAGAAAGCCGAGAAGAAGCATGAGCGAGTGAGTTTCTTCTGCGCACATCGCAACACTGCTGAAAATGTATTACGAATTTCAGACGCTTCTGTTTGGATTATGACAATATTTTGATTCCAAGAACTCATGTGTATTACGATTTAGTAGACCATTTAGGGCGCAATAGACAGCTCAAGGTTAAGTTTATAAATTTCGTCATTACATAAGTTGTGGCCATCGGGTCATAGCCCCGTGCCGTTGCTTTTTAGGTATTGCGCGTTAGCAGGCGTTGACGAAAGCATTATGGACGTTCTTTTTGCTGAAAGACGGTGCTATGACAAATGTTACCACTCTGGACCGAATCTGTCCGATGGTGGATTGCCAGTAGATCCCCTCAAAGCTGTTCATCAAGTACAGGTGGATCGTCTTGCTAAATACTAGTTTCGGCATTATGTGCATGGCTGAACTTCTAGGGTGTATCTGCTCTTGAATTTATGCACTATTTCTTCGACGATAAGTACAAAATGGAATGGGATCACAGCTTCCTATACCGGCATGCAAGTGTTACGATCGAGTTAGGCCGTGATACCCTGGTCATCTCATTCAAACGCATAACAACGGTACAGGGAATTCTAAATCTATCTGTCATGAATCCTGTTTTTGTTTTTTTGGCGCTGATTGCAAGACTACGGGTCGTTGTGACACATCACTCTCAAACGCGCGTCCAAGTGTGTTCTTTGTTATGCCACGATGGGTTAAAACTTACGCAGCGTAGGAGAGCTCGATGACGTGCGTGATCGCAATCTTCATTTTCCCCAGGTCTGCCTCATCTGGCGAGACCTAGAATATGCTCTGTATCTTGCGGAAGCTCCGTTTTTCTTTTACTCTTGCATTGCACGTTATTAAAGTTCTGCTCAACTGCGTCCCTACACTCAGATCGATGACAGGAAAAGATTCATTTTGTTCTTCTAATCTTTTTTCACACTTTCCTTATAGTACACGAATGTACAAGACGCATATATGCGCTATGCATCAAGAGCTGTCCATTTGCTTCTTTATCAAGCTGTATTTGCAGATATGGCCCGCTGCTTCTCGAGAGTCCCTCTTCGTATCCCATATTCGTCGAGTCGATGAGTTGAAGAGTAGTGATGCTCATGATCTTTATATTGTCTGCAACAAAGACGTAACAAGGGCGGATGTGCCAGTGAGTACTTGTCGAGTTTGTTGTGGTGGTTGTAGCTGAGGCCCATATAAGTGCATATTTCAAACTTTTGATTCCATGTTATGGATGCGCTTTTCCTATTCTAATGGTACCATTTCTTATTTCTCAGGCACTCTATTTTCCAGCCATTTGTTTTTATGAATACAGCTCTTCATGATTTAAATAAAGAATCCACTGGCCGATGTCAGACTTTGCGATTGGAGCGATTTTGCACCAAATGCAGGAGCGACGGATCGCTCAAGCGATCCTTCGCTCTGCAATTGGTGCAAAATCGCTCCAATCGCAAAGTCTGACTCTGACATGTTCTCTCTCTCTTACCGCTCCTGTTCACCGCAAGAAAGAATACTGCGCCTCATGATTCCAAAGTCGCAAAAAATGGTAGAAAAGCCTTCCCCGAACCATGTTTTGATGAGAATTCGAGACCGAGTCGTTCTTATGGTTCCTTACGATAAGCTAACCATAAGAGAGGTATTTAATAATGCAAAAACATAATCGTAATCATGGGACAGTTGTGTAAGACGTGAAGATTGAATTCGAAAATTTCACCTCTTAATAGTTGGAGCGTGCTGGCTGTTTACTTATAAACATGATCCATTTGACACGTGGTAAAAGTAGCCCAAATGTCATTGTCATTGCCTAACTCGTTTTCGTCTACCTTCTATGTCATCTAAAGTTGTCATCTCTCCCAATTACCGTCCTATAAGAGTTTTTTTTTTTTCCAAATCGTATATAACTAACAATTCTGTCATCGAATAGATACATATTTGTTACAGGTCACATCGTCATCTGGTATCCGGGTTGGTCTAACGGTTTCCATGATTTTTGGAGAACTGTGATAAGAATGATACACGCCTTAGCGAGCTTTCTCGGAGTATGACATTTTAATGCAAAATTATATTACGTTCCTCCAAGGTACGTGCGTTTATCGCTTATATACTTGCGCAATCTGAGTCGACGAAATATTAAAGCAAATTTGCATATGCTGTTGATTTTTGAAGTGGAATCATTTCAGTTCATCCGGGAGGATGGGTACCGACAGCGGCGTTGAGACAAGTCTATAAGAGAGAGTACCCTAAATTTCTCCGAACTTTCACGAGTTATGTGCTTAAAAATGTGAAGAACAAGCCTTTAAGTATTTGATCTAGTCTTTGTGGTTTACGATTATGTTGTGATTGTAGCCTTTCCTCGTTTGTCTCACTTGAGGTTTCATTCCTTTGTGTGATTCGTTTATTGTAATTAGCTTTGCCATGTACTTGTAGGCGTGATGATTGACAGTTATGTGATGACTCCGCTATCGAAAATTTCGTGCAGTTTTTATTTTGGCTACTAGTTGGATTATGTCGCAGCTGTAATTACTGATTTTTGCGAAGAATAAGGATAAAGTACTTTGGAGTTGCTGGTTCCTGTCAACGTCGAAGGATCATGGCTATTGTAATCCTAGAGTTCTTCGAATTTGTAAAGATGTTAGACATATGATGCCTCAAACCCAGGCTGCATTTTAGTAGTGAGGGTCTTTTGGGAGAGAGCACGTGAATGCGCGTGTCTCATGTACTCCTTAGTCGGAATGCGTATTTCAAATTCATGGTATGTCTATTGATACTCTCCTGTATTCTTATGCGAGGACAAATCAATGTCGGCACCAGTTTTATCAGTGATGAACTCTTATGGAAGCGAGGTCCTGATCCCAATCAGTTCGAAGAGAGGTAAGGTTCAGACAATTAAGAAGTTTGCTATCTTTGAATTAGATGTCGGTTGGACTCGGCGATTGCAACGCGTTGGACCAGCGACGGAGGCAATCGTCCGTCGCTTGCACAAGTGCAAGCGATTGCACTTGTGCAAGCGACTGTGCATTGCAACGCGACGGGCAAGCGATGAAGCGATCGCGTCGCTACGTCGCTGGTCCATCGCGTTGCAATCGCCGAGTCTGACTGACATCTTGAACTGAATAATTGCTACCTAAGCCTATCAGCGTGTGCAATTTGAAAGTGGAGGCTCTTCTACCAAGTGGAGGGAGTTGTGTGTGGGAATGGGAGGAGATATGGTGCGACTGTTGTTACCGTCTAAGGAATTCCAGTCCTTGCAAGGGAGAAAATCCTCAACTACGCATGCTCCCCTACAAAAAAGGTTTATTATAAGCGCTAAGAATTGTGCAGCTCAACCTTCTCCTTGCAAGGTGATGCCCGAAATAGCGTTGATGTTGTTATCTCGCAACAGCTAAGGAAGGGTTGTCGCCACGTGTACAATATTTTTTCATTCTCCACTTCTCTCAGAGTTGGGCATGGGTGCCAATTTTTGCAACGTGTCGGCTGTTATTCTAAAACCCGCAAGTCGGTGGCTGACGTGTCGCTGTTGGAGTATTCTAACCCAAAGTCGGTGCTGGTTCTTTGGGGGGAAGCTGTGGACATCCAGATAAGGCCAGTGGAAGGTGTTACTAGGACTAAGCCAGAGATGGGAGAAACATCAAGAAGAACACAAATTGTTCATACCCTTACCAGAATTCACTCCCTCCTAAGGCTTAATTCCAAGTACTGTAAATGGGTCTCTCTTTTGAATGCCCTCCCAGCCACATAGGCACTTTAAAGGACTCCCTGGTGCTGGGGAGTAGTGTTAACACAAGGGTGAGCAACTATTGAGGAAATCCTGTAAAGGCGTCGTTTCTGCTCAAATGGGAGGTAAAGTGGTCGTCATGGTAAGAATCGTTGCAGACACATCAGTGCTGCTGCAACTCACTCTTGTCATCACCAACCTTTCAAGTGCTTTAGTTATAGTAAAATAATATTCAAAATATTCATAAAAGAATAATTATAAAATATAAAAGTGTTAATATAATATGGAAATAATTTTTTGAAACTGTCTAAAATGGAAATTTAAGTGTAAGTGCTTCTTGACTTGGCCCTGGTGATCACTATAATACATCGAGAGGAAATGCGTCTGACAAAAGAGAAGCAGAAGGGTATGGGCAGTTAGTACTTCCTCTGAATCTTACCCTAGGACCCTTTCTTTCGTTTGTCCACAATTTGACGCGGGCTGGTCGTTTTGAAAGGTTGGCACACGCCCTGACGGGTTGCCTTTGTGCTAAGCTAGGCCAAATCTCAGTCTAGGGATACAGCTTTGTATTCAGCTCTACAGTCCGTCCTTGTGGAGGTTAGATGAGTATGGAAGCACTGTTAATGGAAGGGTAGCCCAGATGTCATTTTTGCAGAAAACTTATGGTTTTTAAGGCGCAGGAATTATACTGATGGTGAGTGCGTGCGCGAAAATATTATAGTTTTGGTGGATCCTCTTCTAATGACTGTAAATGGTACATTCAGCGTTTCTTTTGGTCAGAAATAGAATTGAAAATATGCTCAAAAAAGAAGTTTTTGGAAGCCTTTGGAGCTTTGGACGTGGTTTTGCGGCCCAAACCGTGAATGACTTCCACAACGCTTTATGTTGTTCATAGAACTATCGTAATCCTCTGTAGATTGTGGATCTATCAATGCAAATGACGATTTTTTTTTCAACAAGGAGAATTGAGAATTAACAGTTTTTATGTGCACTATGATCGAATGGGTTTTATTTTTCCAGAGGTCAAGATACCCAATAGCAATAGTCGTTGTTGTGCAAGACAATTCTAATAAGGGAACAGTATCAACAAGCTCAATCGTATAACTTCGTATATCTTTGACGTCAGACATTATACGTTCCCATTCCATAATGTCATTTTGCAGACAATACCCATTAACAGAAATTGTCCTCAAAAAGACTTGAGCTTTGTTCCAAGCTTTGAAGTCTTAAGACAAACCTTGACGAAACTTCCTTTCATCTTCAATTTTTCCCCACGTCACGTGCGTTGTCGCTCACATGATGAGCTTGTGGGACGAACAGTGGTTGCTCTTCATTGATGCGGATATGGCAATAATCAATCCTAATCATTTAATTGAGGAATACATTCCCAGTGATCCTGAAGTACACATAGTTTTCTACAACAGAATATTCAACCACGAAGTCATGGCTGGATCTTACCTTACGCGGTGATCTAATGCTACAGTTATGTTACGAATGGTACCCTCTGCTTCCGAAAACTAGATGCACGTCGAGTGCAGACCACACACCAATAAGTGACGACGGCCTCCAAGAGTAATTTGGTGACTAGTGATTCGAGTGATAGCTGATAGTGAGTAAATGATAGTTGTAATATGAGTGATCCACTGTTAAATGCAACTGCTAACCTGAAGGGCAATGCATCCTTCACCTGGCAGAAAACTTTGGCGTCGTTCTGTGTTTCGTAGAGACCGCACTCGACGAGCATCTGGTTTCAGAAACAGGGGGTAGATCTGAAGTCAGCTTAAAGTCGAAGCGTAGCGTGAAGAGGCATGGATGATGCAGCAACATGAAGCTCGCGGTAGCAAGCCATACACCTCGACCCGCTCGCGCCTCGTAAGCAGGCCCATTTCAAGGGCAACCATTTTGGCTTATTGACTGTTCACAAATGCAAACATTGTGACTTTTTCCAGAAATTCCAATTACTCTTACAATTTCTTATTGCATTGGAGCAATTACGAAATTCAATTACCACAAAGTTTTCATGGATCAGATATGGAGCCGTTCACGTAAGCGCGTATTTCAAATTCTCTGCATTGGAAGACTTTCATCGTGTTTTGTGCATTTCAGAGTGCCATAGTGTCATACGAAGTTCCTGTCGAAGATGGTGCTCGCAAGGGCTGCGACAAAGTTTTGGTCACTGCCCAAGGCTCAGTTTTACTTTCATTTTTGAATGAATGGGGTCTCATCCAGTAAGGGGGGGGGCATTGTGATGCAACGTCTAATGGCTGCCCTCACCCCCCCCCCCTGAACTGGCTTCACTCCCCCTGGCTCACGGGGTCCCGTACTTCGAGAAACCTGTGCGCCAGGGGGAGTGTAGGCAGTCTAGGGGGTGGGGGGTGAGGGCAGCCACTTGATGCCCCCCCTTACTGGATGCGACTGAATCTCTAAATGGCCTATGTTTCCAGGGATTATGATACTCTATCGATATATGAAGTTTGCATGCAGATGATTCTAATGTCCAATCAGCTGCGACATATTCTTATTCTCCCGAAGGTAAAATGGGGTTTTCATATATAGCCGCAGCTCTCATGCTGCTCTAATTTCTTGGTATGTAAAGACTTGAATTTTTTTAATTATACAGCGGGTTTTCGTCGTGGGTCACAGTATGTATCTCATGGCAAACTCAGCATTGGAGAGAGCAAGCTTATACTCCACTGGTTGGCAGAGCGAGCCGTATCTAGGCCCTGTTTATAGAAATTTAATATGCATGCACAACTTGCTACAAGTATACGAGCGAAGCCTTTAATTTCTAAAAAAAGAAAACGAAAATTTCCGTATATTGTTAATTGGTTGTATTGTCAGGCGAAAGGATAAAATGCGTTTTGCGCGATGGCATTCTCCTCTCGTGGATGCGACATGGAATTCGGCTTTGTGTGCTGGCCCAAATGCTTATTTTAATTGGAGGTATAACTTTTTAAGCAGTTATAAGATCTGAAGATGGTAGAGATACAGCATGGAGGTGTAAGGTGACCCTCTTTGAACTTTTTTCTTAGTTGTTTCCGCACACAAAGGGCCACTAAACAATGATACAAAAAAGAATAAAACGAAAAACTACTTCTTAGGCCAGAGTGGGTAATATGGGACAAAATTCAACCTTCTCGGCGCGCGAGGCACTCAATTGTTGCTGCATCACTCGCGTGGGTTCTTGTCCGTTTGTTTCATGAGTCGATCAATCTCGCAGTAGTTTCAGAGGTAACCAAATATATGGTAATTCCTGTGTTTGAAAGAGCTGATTGATGAATTTGTTACTCAGGGAAATGGTGAACAAATCAACGACAATAATCCTTTTTCATGTGGTGTGGTACCGTACATGGTGCAGCATACGGTCCGCAATGAGTTGAGGAACCCGGACAGCAAGCTGTTTCTAACATAACTACCGCAACTTATCATATTGTTATACCGAGACAAGTCGAAGATGCAACGACTTAAAGGAATCCTTCACGGAAAAATCATGATTCTATTTCAGCCATAAATCACTGGCTTGAGACTCATTATCCACGATAAGAAGTGAAAAGAACAGAAGTATTGCTTTTGTTTTGATTAAAAATTCGAAAACTCGAAAAGGGCTGCTACGCGTTCGAATTGCCCACGGACGTCTTTCACGAATGCTGGCGACGGGGATGCTTCAAACTTGGTTCTTGGAGTGCATTCACTAGAAGCTCTTTCTGGCCTTCTGCTTTATTGCATTCACATCTTACACTTCTACTCCATCCTATTCTATCGATCGATTTGTCTCTACTCTCCGAAATCGCGCGCTTTAACCCGATTCTTTCATTGCGTAGCCGGCCAAAGGCCAACTTCTTTCCATGCCTCGCCTTTGGCTCCGCCCGAATTACCTTCGATGTCCATAAGTGTAGTTTTTGTACGTTTGTTTCTCTTCGGAAACCGAATCTTCATGCGTGAAACTTTGTGTGCTGTTTCCAGTGATCACAACTGACATATTCATGTTAAGAAAGAATGCAAGAATTTTCCGCGCAAGATTCCTTTAATGCTCAGCTTGCTCAGTTCATCACCACGAAGAAGGAGAGCATTTAGTATGAAAAGACTTCTCATCACATATGGGCCTTACTCACTACAGAAATAGAATGTTAACAGACAGACAGAGAACTGTCCATAGCCCAGCAGCGATCTGAGCAAATATGACGCTTACGCAATTTTGTACTACGAAAAGGGAAGTGGGAGGAGTACGACAGAAGAAGGTCGACTTCAGCAACGCAACTAGCTGTGGCTATACCGAGCTGGCCAGGGTAGTCATCTCTTTGATCGAAATACGACCCTCCCAGGGGTAGGGCTCATGCTCACGTATTGATCAAAACAAAACTTAGTTTCCTTTATCAGTCCATTTTCTGGAACAGAAGAATTAATGGAACCACACCCCCAAATCAGTCCAGCCGACAGTTTTTTTTATCTGGGTCCTGGTGCACCCTATCTGCGGTTTGTCTTTGGGGTCTATTCTGTTCAGTTATCTTCTCATGTGCATCTATCTCCGTCACTCTGAACTTATTCTGTACGATCTTCACTTTTGTAGTGGAAGTCTTTTACCTTTCGATATCCTAAACGTGAGATGATTTAGGTACAAAGACAGCTTTATCGAGAAGAACGAAGAAATCCAAAGGAGGCTGAATGTAACCATTCGGCAGGTTGAAGCAGATTTTCAATCCATCAAGGCAACGATACAGACGACTAGATGACAGTTCTCGATGAAAATTCCTGTTTACGTCAATTTATATAATGCTCATTGATGGCTCCATAGTTACTGCTGCATTTCTGCTGGCTCTCCAAACAAATTTGAAGGTAGAGCCCGAAATGGCACAGCTCAAATCATTGTTACTGCCTCCTCCTTCTCCTTCTGTGCCTATAACCCGTTCTATCTTCATGTCTTGTATTTTGACTTTAGCCTGATGGTCAATTGATCTGAAACATTTCCGAGCCATCCGGGACGAGCGCATTGAATTGTTTGTCATAATTAACATGTGCGTTGCCAGCATCCGTTGGAATCTGCTTTAATTTCATTGCGAGCTTTTGTTTTTCTCGTTTTTGTCTGAGCAAAATGTCTGGCCCATATATCGGCTTGTTCCCACAAGTCACGATATAAGTGGGCATTGTTCAATTTTACTTCAATTGTGAGAGAGCTAATTATGTTGCGCGTCCACAGAGGAAGTGATTAACTCTTTTCATTTTCACCTTTTCTCCTTAATCAATTCATGTTTGTTTGTGATTGTTTACTGTTGTCAATA